TCAAAAATGCTTCCCTGGAAATGTTGATATATACATTATTGGCTATTGATATAATCCTGAAGCCATCGTTAGATATATTAGTTAAGATGTCTTTCTATGAAAATAACAGAAAACCCAATTCAAATTTGCTTAAACAATATAACTAAACATTTGTTGGCTCACTTTCCTGACAAGACTACAAGTTGGGCAGGCTTCAGGGTCAGTCCAATCTGAGGGAAAACACCATTTTCCTGCACTTGTCTTGGATCTACCTTCCTCCACAAGCCAGCTGTATCCTCAGCCTGGTTTCTCTAAAGCTACAAGATTCCGTGTTTACATCTAGAGTAACAGCTTTCTTTGGGGAGAGGGCTCCTCCTCCAAACCTCATGCTATTTGCATCACACCTGATCTAACCACTGGGCCAAGGGAAGGTCATCATCTGATTGGCTTAGGCGCTCATCCCTGCACCAATCACTACCACCACAGTCTGAAATTACCCGGTTTGGCGGGTAATAAGTCAGGACGCCCACTAGAAGTGGAGTGTATAGTCAACCTCACTCCACTGCCAGGCTGAGTCTTAAGGCGTGAAGGCTTAAATGACTGTTGAGAAGATAACAAGAATTTCACAGGTGGATACTAAATTAGGATGTGAGTGGGCAAGTCAAAATATCAATGGCTTAAACAAGTTAGAAGTTCTCTTTCTCCCCTAAAAGTCTAGAACTTCGTGGTACAGGATTGGTACAGCAGCCCTGCTCCATAAAATCCTTGGGCCCCAGGAATCTCCCTGTAGCTCACCACCCTGATGACGTTCCTAGGGTGCAGCCCTAATTTTCATTATCTAAGGAAAGATCTTTGCTGCAGGCAGCAGGAGAGAGGAAGTGACAAAGAAAAATGGGTACATTTGAAGGAAGGTTCCTATAAGCTGTCATGCATGGCTACCTTTATCACCGGTCACACCTACCTGCCAACTAGGCTAGGAAATGAGCTTTATTCTGGGTGACCATTTTCCCGGCTAACCATTCTATTACTGTGGAATGAGGGGGGAACAAATGCAGGGGACAAGCACTCTGTCCTACTCTGAGGAAATGAGATCTATTAGAGGTGAGTGAATGATCCCAGTGAATTATCCATTTGTAATCTGGCATACAGGACAGGGGTGAGAGGAGAGAAAAATCCCCATTCAGAGAAATGAAATAGTGAAAAGGAAACAATAAGTTATGTGTTTAAAAGAACTGTGTTTACATCCCATTTTGGCCACCTAATAGTTGGGCAATCTTTAACAAGTTGCATAATCTCTATAAGCCTGCGCTCTTATCTGTAAAATGGAGACAACATCATCTACTCCACAGTTGGGAAATGACTAATTGAGGTAATAGTTGTTAAGTGCTTTTTAAGCAATAATACTCATACAGATTAAAGTCATTGTTATTAACTATAACAAAGCTTACAATAACATGTTAATATTGTAGAAACATATTTTTTGAGTTAAAAATGAGATGAGAGACTTTCATTAGCTTTTTGATATCAATTTTTTAACAGAAGAAGTAATTCTTCTGTTAATTTTTGTCTAAGTAATTTTGTCTAAGTAATTTTTGTCATTATTGACTTTTTAAAAATTCTGACAATATTTTTTCCTGCTGGGCAGGTCTCATTTATCAAATTGTTTGATGTGTATCCAGAAAGGAATTGTGCAAATGTTCTCACTGTGTCATAACAATCCCATAAACACAAAGCCAGAAATTTCAAATAAGAAAATTCGAGTTACAATATTTATGACATTAATTTCTGCAATAAAATGAATTTTCCCAATGATAATAAATTATGTAAATGGAATCGCAAATTTCATATATACTCTCTTTTGCATAAAGAATAGAAATGAGTCAGAAAGAAAGTATCTTATTTGCTGCATATAATGCAATTCACAAGTTATGGTGGGAAGAGCAATGGGGCTGGCTGATTGGGGGAGACCTCCGCGGGGGTGGTGTGTGGGTCTGCGATTAGGTCAGGAGATTGGTTACGTACAGGGAGAGTTAGTAAGTGTATTGAGATAATGAGAGCTAGAGGGGAATTACCAATGTGGAAAGGAAGAAAACTAGACCTGGAAGAAGTGATCCACTAGTACTAATGAGCATACCCAGCACCTAGATGGTGGCTTTCTGAATATTTTCCTCCAATAAAAGGATCCAGAACTCCTTGGAGAAATGGTTAAATTAAGAGCTGTGACAGGAAAATTACAATATGTTCCTGGGACATCTTGAGCATGAAAGTAAGAAAGTACTCAAAAAATGATGAGAACATATTAGAAGGACAAAATCCAGATTGAAGACACCCATTACTTAAATCTGGGACAATTTAAACATAAAATGAATAACGATAGCAACAGATTATGACCCGTTGAATAAAATAGGAATCCATGACTGCACCCTGATACAGTATTCATGAATAAGTGAATAAATGGGGAAGTATAGAAAGCTTTACTATATAGTACTATGCCAACTAATTAATGTAGAAAGAATGATGGAATTAGAATATCACCATTTGTAAATCATTATAGTAAAAATTGTTTCAGGGAAGAACCAACAGTGGATGCTAAAAGTATGGGTGAAAATGTGATGAGGAACAAGATATTTACATAATATCAAAGTAGCTGTCCACCAAATACCTGTTGATTTTACAATGAAGAAATTTGGCAGACATCATCTTAATGAAATGATAAAAGTCAATGCTGATAGAAATGGGATAAGTTTATATTTGTTAATTCACTTCCTGATAATGCACTGGGAAGAACATAGCATCCTGTCTATGGTTCCTCCCCATAAATGAATAATCTGAATTGGATTATAATAAATATAAGACAAACTGAAATTGAGGAACATTCTACAAAGTAACTGGCCTATTCTCTTTTAAAAAGTCAGGCATGAAAGATATAGAAAAACTGAGGAACCGCTCCAAGAAGGAGACTAAAGACATATAAAACTAACTACAACACATGATCCTCTATTGGATCCTGGATTAGAAAAGAAAGAGTAATTATATGGTATATTATGAGTGAAATTTGAATGCAGTAAATAGATTGGATCATAGTTTTGAATCAACTTTTTGTGTGTGTGTGAGAAGGACTAGCCCTGAGCTAACATCTGATGCCAATCCCCCCTCCCCTTTTTTTTTTCTTGAGGAAGATTGGACCTGAGCTAACATCCGTGGCCATCTTCCTCTACTTTATATGGGATGCCGCCACAGCATGGCTTAACAAGCAGTGCGTCGGTGTGCAGCCAGGATCCGAACCTGCGAACCCTGGGCCGCCGCAGTGGAGTGCACGCACTTAACTGTTTGTGCCACCAGGCTGGCCCTTTGTATCAACTTTAATTTCCTGTTTTTAATAATTTTACTGGCTTTTGCTATATATACAAAATAATTGAGAGAGGAGGAGAGAAGAGAAAAAGAATAATAAAACAAATATGGTAAAATGTTAATTATTTAGGGAATCTGAGTAAAGGGTAAATTTAAAAAAATCCTTTGTATTGTTCTTGTAATTTTCTGTGAGGCTGAAATTATTTTGGAATAGTTATTTTGAAAAAGCATAATGTATAATATAAAAATAATCAAATTTCAGTCCATAGAAAATTATAGTGGGCTTCTAGGACATGACAACACAGTTTTTGGATCTTCTCAAATCCTTACATATCAACAGAGAAATTGGAAAGCAAAATTAAAAACCCAGGGGTAATGTTTAAAACAAAACAAGATGATAAGGTATCCCCACAAACCACAAAGTATAAGCAGGTGAGGACAAATCATCAACAAGCACAAGTCTACAATATTAGAGTCTGTGTAAGAGAGAGGAGAAGGAATCAGTGGGATAGTTGATGTAACTGAGAACAAGGGGCATCCAAAAGAGAAACAGACATCTACTGGCACAGTTAGCCAATCTGAGAATAGTAACTGAAGCTGGCAGGCGTTTTCCCCCTTCCAATAGCAGGTTAAGTGCAAGGGATCCCTGGTAAGACCTGAAGAGGTAGGAAGAATCTCACCCCAGTGAATTCTCAATACTGCCCCACCACACTCCCTTTCAGGAGACAGCTCTGAGGAGACACTACTGGCCATGGAATCAAAACTGATCAGGATAGGGACAACACAGATGAAGTAAAGAGAAGATCCAGATAAAAAGTGGCTGAGAGGAGCAGGGTCAGAAAATCTCAGAAGCAAACCATCAAATTTTTTAAACATTACACAAAAACAAGAAACACCACTGTTAAGTTAGAAAAGCTGTCTGAACCAAACTTCCTTCTAAAAGTTCAGGAAAACTAATTTTACTTAGGAACAAGAAATAGAAAATTATCAAGGTCAAATCCCAAAGTTACTACAAGAAAAAAAAAAAGGAATAAGAAATGGAATAACATCCCTACCAAAATAAATGAAGGCACACCTGAAAGACATACTCAAGAAACAGATAAAAACTATAATGTACTATTTCAAAATGAACTTTCAAGTGAAATTTCAAAATATATTAAGAAGGTAATATAAAACATGAGAAAGCAACATAAATCAGAATTAGAAAAATTCATAAATTAGGTGACATAATTGAGTAATACTCAAAGAAGAATTTGAAAAGATAAAATCATTTTAGAAATAAACACTAAACCAGAAGGAGCAAGAGCAAAACACGCACACACACACACGGATAGATAATGTCTTAGGAGAAATAGAGGATTCAAAGGAGGACAATTTTAACACTCAAAAAAATAATATTTTTTAAATAAGAAAAGAGATAAAAAGGGATTCACAAGTGGCCAATGCTGAAGATGCTCAAAGAAGATGCAACATACAGACAAACGGAGTCCTGGAAGAAGAAAACCAATGGAAGGAATGAAACAAATATTGTAATTTAAGAAAAGTTTTCTGAAATAAAAAAGGACTTGAAACTACATATTGAAATAACACCTTAAGTATCTGAGAGTACTGATCAGAACAACCAACACCAAGAAATAGTCTATTAAAATTATTGGACTTTATTGTTTTTTCTTTCATAATTGAGATTTTATTGGTTGTTTTGAGGATCAGCACACAGACATTTCAATCTGTACACAATTCTTAACATACATACCAAAAATCTAAAAAATCACGTAGTTGTGATTCTTTTCTAAATGGTTATTCCAGTGACTTTCCAGCTTAAAGTTTGGAGGCATATTTCCCTTAACAGGACATCAAGTATCAATATCTTCAAATGTTGACACCTGTTACATCATTAAGTCCCACTAATTCACAATTTAATATCATATACACTACATACTCAAATTTTCAATCTTTCACAGCACATTAACAAAGTTACTAGGAAAACTGGACTACCACGACCAAAGATATTATAGACTGCACAAAACTCTGAGAGGGAGAGCCAAGATCAAGCAGTGGTTTTCTTTAGGAAACACTTCCACCAAAAATAACATGAGAATAGAAGTAATTTAATATGTTCAAGAGATATTAAATGCACAACTGACTCCAAATTGCCATTTTGTATGCTTTGTATTATAGGGTATAAAAACTACCCCCATCTATGGAATGTTAGGCTGACACCCAAGACAATCAAAGCCACTCCTATTCAATATCCCACTATTTTCTGGTTGTACCAAAAAAATAAACAACTGGCAAATTATTTCACCTCTTAAAAAAAAGCACTGACAGGGGCCGGCCTGGTGGCATAGTGGTTAAGTTCATGCACTCTACTTTGGTGGCCAGGGGTTTGCAGGTTCAGATCCTGGGCCTGGACCTATGCACCACTTATCAAGCCACACTGTGGCAGGTGCCCCACACATAAAGTAGAGGAAGATGGGCACGGATGTTAGCCCAGGGCCAATCTTCCTCAGCAAAAAGAGGAGGATTGGCAACAGATGTTAGCTCAGGGCTAATCTTCCTCACACAGACAAAAAAGTGTTTAAACTTAAAAAATGGGATGAGGTAGGATTCTCTACTTCTTAACAATGTTTCTAGAGCTACTAAAACCTTGCAAAATAGTTAATAAAAATATTCCTCTGGATTGTACAAGAAGAGAGACAGGGACCACTGATAAGACATGGTGTATGACATTAATCAGACTTGGCTTCTTTCTCTCCTGCTTCATCAGAGGCTGCACTCTCCTTGTTTTTAGTTTCTCCATTTTCTGCAGATAAGTCATTTTTAGTTTCTTGGTTAGCTACTTGGGTGTGTTTTCTCTTTGCTCCCCTTTTCCTTTTTGTTTGCACATTTTTGTCTGAAGATTTATCCTTTCCCATCACATTTTTGGGCTTCATTTCCACTTCTGCAGGAGTGGGTTTAGCAGACAACCTCGCTGATCTCCTCTTGGTCTCCTTGTCCGCACCCTCAGCAGAGCTGACCTTCCTCTTGGGCATCGTGGTGGCGGGGTGGGCACATCAAGAGCGTTCCCAAAGCAGGGTTGCCTGGCCACTGCTGCTCCTCCCGCCACCCCAGCTGCTGGGGCCCATGCGGGGGCGGGGGGAGAACCTGATGTAAGCGGATTGGGAGCCCGCCCCCTCTCCCCCCGGCCTCAGGCTCCCCCCCAGCCAGCCAGCCTCACCCCCCCAACCCAACCCCCCTAACCCCAGGCCATTGGCTGCCGGGCCCAGCCAGCCGTGGCCGCCTAAAACTACTGGAATTTAAAGAAATTCTTTGGGTACCTAGACAAAAAGAGCATACAACTTATAAAGGAGAGATAATTAGGTTATCAGACTATTCAACAGCAGCCCATTATGCTGGAAGAAAATTGAGTAGAGGCTGTTTTTAAGAGACTCAGGACAATATAATATTAGCCAAACATTCTATATCCTGCAAAACTGACCTTCAATTATAAAAGGCACAGAGAAATTATTATTGGCAAAACTCAAAGATTATTGTTCCTATGTACTCTTCTAAGAAATCTACTAAAGAGTGAGTTTCAGACAAGAAAATGACTGGAGAGATATTAATATAAGGACAAGATGTGATCATTAAAATATACAGTTGTTTGTAGAACTAAGAGAAAATGAGAGTTAAGGGGGGGTGGGGAGGAATTATAGTATATAATGACTATATGATCTGACAATGTAGATAGTATATGATATAAATATGCTATAACCATTTTTAAAATGAGAGGAGAACAGGGATAGCATATTCAAATTTTAACTGTTTTTTAGTAATTGGTGGTAATATTAGTAATATTAATCATCAATAGTAGTATTAGTATTGTTATTCTGGGACTGTTGGTATCATGTGGGAAAAGTAAATGACAATTATGGAGTATTCTAACTCTATCCCCCTGTTACTTTGAGAACCAGTGTCCTTGGTGTGGAAGAAAGGAGATACAGAGGTAATAGAGAAGAGGTTAAGTAAAAACCATGTAGTTCTGAATTTAAAATAGAAATATTAAGGTAATATATATTCTACTAAAGGGGCTTAGAAATAGCAAGTAAGTTGTGGTCTTGAAATATTTCCCATTCGAAGAAACTAGGGGCCCTTGGAAAAATGGCTGATTCTAGGATTGGAGGTCTGGGGCAGAAAACGGAACATCTTAACATGCCGGACAGCAAGGAAGCTATTGAAGACTATTAGGATCATGTCCAAGGAGCCAATTTGAAGAGTACCCACAGCCAAAGATGGGACAATTGGAGCTTCAATGAGGATAAGAATTGCAATGGATTGAAATCTCACAAATATGTTTAGGTCCATGAGTTCATTATAATATTTTAAAAATCTCATTGATAACATTTTAAAGATGACAGGGAATCAATTTGTTGTATCAAAAACTGGGGAAGTAAAAGGGAAAACTCAAGCATTCTTCCTGCCTTTTATGTATAAACTGTTCCATTGGATGACCAAATAGTAGATGCAGGGAAGCATCTCATTATAAAATTATTCAAAGTAACACATGAAAACAAAATACTAGAAATAGGATATCATATAACCCTCAATGAATTAATGAATGTAAATATTGAGTATAAATGGCTGCTAACATTAAAAAGAAAGAAAGAGTTAAAACCAGACTTCCTGCAAAAAGAACACAAAGGGATCAAAATTGAGCCTGATGAAGCCTCTGGATCCAGCTGCCAATTTCTAGGAAACACAGAGGGCACAGGAACATGTTGAAGTCTATCATGAGTGTGCAATCAGCAAAATCCAGACTGTAGAACACTCTCTGTGTCAAGCAGACTGAATCCTACAACAGGTAAAGTGTAAGAAAATGATGGAGGGAGAACCTGTAGATGAAACGACACCTAAAAGACATAACAAGGTGTTTGTTTTTAATGGGCGTGACTAAACTGCAGTGTAGAGGAATACAAGAGAGAGATTGCTATGCAAGCCAGGATATGGTGATTTTGGAGGAAGAGAGGGTGCTGTGAATTGTATGGGGCATATGGAAGGGCTTCTGAGATGACTACAAAAGTTCTATTTTTGTCCTGGGTGGTGGCTTCAGGGTATTCATCTTATGATTATTCACTAAGTGCTACATTTGTTTTGTTTAGTTTTCTCTTTCGATGCTTTATTTTACAATTTAAAATTTTTAAAAATTTATAGTGGCTTAGAGAGATATATCGATCTGGAAATGGTAAGAAAAAAAGTATGTCCAATAGACCTTTGTTATAATATAGTTGATTATTATTATTATTATGTATTTGGGTAGTCCATTTTTGTCTTTCAAAACTTAACCATATAAAATAAAAGCTAAAACTGATATAGATTCATAGAATGTATTTAAAAAAACAGAAACAACAAAACAAAGAGCTCTTACAATTTAGTATTTTCTAAAGCTGGCTTCTTTGGAACATTCATTCCACAAGAAGTTAATAAATGTTATCTCAAAAATGAAAAAAAAAGTTGAAATGGTCAAATAAGTCAAGGAAACAGAGTTAAACAGATATTTTTATTGTCTAATACCTTAGGAACTTTCATAAGCTAGAGTGTAATTTGAAGCGTTAAGAAGGGACTATGGTTGTATTATTTCCCAAACTTTGACAGTAGCTTTTTCTCTTTTCTTTTCTAAAGACACAAATATAGCAATTATTAAATAGAGTTATGCCTATTTCTAACAGCAGAAAATAAGGGATTTTATTGTGTTTATCATTTTATGATACCCTCTGCTCAATGAGATCAGGGACATAGTTCTATTTATAACTCTATCCTGAGTACATAAAACAGTGCCTGATACACAGTAAATGCTCAAAAACTACTTCATGAATGAATGAGTGATTTCTCAACATGGAAAGCAAATAAGATTAAAGATCTTTTTGTAGAAAATCAAAATCAATTTCTTTTGTAGGAAATCAGAGAGTAATAGCCTCTTTAACAGATAGCATGTGCCGTCATCTTTGTGGCCTACTGTGTATGTTTCACATCACTGTGCTGCCACCAGTAAGTCTGCAGGGATGATTACTTAAGGAAAGCTGTAATAGCCAAGTGCTAAATTCTATTATGTTTATGAGTAACATACAAATTAACTCCTTCTAGAAATTTGCTTAAACTTTCATTTTATTGTCTAAACATTTGCCTTTGAACCTTACAGATCTGAGGAGGCAGTAAATATCATGGTTAATTGAGATCACAGGCTTTGGAGGTAGGCAATGACACCCCACTCTACTCACTTCCTTTTATTCATATAGGAGGAAATTTTAATACCATAACATGTTATGACATTATGCTAGAAAAGGAACCAGAGACCATCAGTTGAACTACATATGAACCAGAGACTTTGCCACAATGACTGTATTTCTACAGTGTCCCACTCTTCTATTTATTTCTGGTTGGCATTTTGACAGAAAAAAAATGATCTCATGTGTCTAGGCTTGAATTAAAATTAGAGTGCTATTTTTCATTTCTAGTGTTTCTTCTGATAAGGCCTACTATCATGGGAAAATTATTTAACTTAAGTGCATTTATTTCTTCATCTATAGCAACGACAAAATTCTGATCTTCAGAGAAGTGGATAAGATGATAAAAAATAGCACATTATGCAATTTTTCCCTTCAAACTTTTTTAAAAAGTCTAAGATTCTGATCATTACTCTGGGGATTACTATTGCACATATCTAAACTATTCTGTAAATTATTCCTTCTATTGCCTCATGCCAGGATCTTTGAGGGACCGATAACTGCCACCCTTCTTCCTTGTCCTAATTCTGAACCAGTTGAGAAGTAATATAGAGTACAAGGCATGAGGGACTGGGAGGAGGAAAATATCATCTTTTA